GACGTTGACGTGATTATTTCAGAGTTTACTGATCTGTCCAAGGATATTGATGCCGGTGTTGAAGTTGATTTTGAGTCTAGTGTTAATCCAATTTGATTTTGGTGAGATGGTGATTTGGTGCCTGACAAGCTGTTGTGGTTGATTATTCAGTTGTTTTGTCTTGAGATTATTCCATCTGTGAGTGATGAAAGTAAAAAATTCCAAGGTGTTTTTGACTTAATCTTAGTAGAATTTGGGCCAGTTGAGGGTTTTTTGAACCCAATTTCTCTATGAATTTTCTGAGTTAGGTGAATTTTGTTTTGTGGAGTTTTATAGAGTTCAGAAAAAAACCTCTGATTATCCGGTCTTGATTTCATGACCTCAAAAAATAGGTGCACATGTGCTTAGGTACTGAAGTGTGGTGCAAAAAGTTGGCACAAGGTGGGAGTCGAACACGAGTCCACAGCACTAGTTGCAGCTCTTACTGGTTTGATCACTACAGGAAATATGGGTTGAGGTTGGTGTTGTCGGAGCGCCCTTCGTTCGCCTTTCCATGCCCTTTCACAACCTGTGACAGGGTCCGATCGGTGTTAGGACTCGCGCTAGCTCCTCTCCGTGGGTCCTCCTCCTCTCAAACTCCTTCAACTCCTCACCGAATAGGCACTCGACTCCTCAACGATTTCGACTATTGACGATCCGATTTTCCGTCCCCGCCGGTAAGTATTCCGATGTTCTAGTTTCAGTTTCATTTCTAACTATCTTCCAATTACTGATCTAAAAAAAACCCTTTCTTTGTTTGACTAGTTATTGATCGTATTTAGACCATCTCCGCGGCTAGTTAGCGGATAACTTTAGCCATCTAAGTAAGTTTCCTTTCATTTCTGATTACTCTTCCTTTTCTTTTCTGTAGTCTCGTATAGATTCACTAGTCGTCAATCGTTTTTTATCTTCATTCCTTTTGTTTTGAGTAGTGTTCAAAGTTTTAGCGTCATCGGTCCTGGATTCTAAATCAATTTTCATTCATATTCGATACGGTTCAGGCTGCATAAAGGATGAGAAATGGTCTTCCTCATTTGAAAAGGAAGGATACCGCCGATGGAGTCGAATCGATTGTTTTTTTAGACCATCTCCGCGGCAAGTTAGCCGATAGCTTCAGAATCTAGGTGAGTTTCCCTTTTGTTTTGTTCTCTTCCTTTTATTTTTGCTAGTTTTGTAGGTTCACTAGCTGACGATTGTTTTTGATCTTCACTCCTTTGTTTTTGAGTAGCGATCCAATGGTTTTAGCCTCTCGTTTTGGATTTGAATCGTTTGCCCTTTCGTATCCAATCCTGGTCAAATCGTATAAGGTATGCAAGATGGCTTCGATCGTCCGGAAAGGAAAGTTACCGCCGCACCGTCTCGCTTCCGGTTTCTCTTCCTCCTCAACTACTTCCTTCACCAGCTACATCTACCCAAAAACCAACCCATCCTCCAGAATTCGAAGTCCTCGATTGCGCGGAGTCCTCTTCATACGTATTCCTTTGTTATTCTAGTCGCATCCAGTCTACAAATCTACCCAAGTCGATTCAATTTGATCGTGATACAGTTGTCCTTGTTGTTAGTCCAAGCAAAAACCAGCCACTCCTTATCCATCCCAGCACTCCCTGATTGATATTATCTAATGTCCGGGCGAGAGAAAATAAAGGGAAAAATGAAAGAAGAAAATTTAAAAAATCCAAGTAAGATGATGAGTACTGTACCCCTCCCCCAACTTATGAGGTTGTCCTCAACCTTCAAGACAATAATTCTGATGAAGATGATGAGTAAGTGATTGAGAAAACTGAGTGATTGAAAGGGGAAAAAATGAAATCAAGAAAAAGAGCTTAAGTGAAAAAAACTGAAATAGAAAAAAATTCAAGAGTATAATAATGAATATGAAACCTGGATATAAGATAAAATTTATATCAAGATGTGTTTTTGGATAAAAAAAAAGCCTAATGATACTGAGACGGGTTAAATTGGGAATAGGTATAATGTGAGTGAAGTATTGAAATGAATGTGAGCTCCTCCCCCAACTTATAAAAAAATAATTCTGACAGTGGAAATTTAGAATTTGAACTGATGTGATGTTCCTGAATGGTTGAAGATAGAAATAAATGTTGGAAAAGATATCATCCCACTCCCACAAGTTTCCTTGGGAGCTTGAAATTTTGATATAGATGTTCTGAAAGTTCTGGTTTTAGGTAAAGTTGAAAAAAGGTTTTCTTGAGTGAATAAAGTAAGAGCCAGTAATATTTTGTTTTCACGTCAATTTGAGAGTGATTGTTGACTGATTCATTTAAATTCTTTCTGGTTTTAATTTTTGCATTGCCTAGCTTGTTTGGTGAATCCCTCCATGTTTGTGGGATGTTGGGTGGAATTGGATTAGGTTGAATATTGATGTCATCTTCAATAATTGGCAAAAGTTGAACTGATGATGTAGTAGATTGATTTGAGGTAGGTTGACTAAGTGTTTTGAAATTTTTGATTTTGTTTAAGCTAGAAATACTAATGTGATCCTCCTTCTGTTCTTCAGGGTTGTTATATTTATTGATATTGGGTTGTTGAGTATAAATGTAGTTGATTTTTGAATTGTTGGATAAATCCAAATGAGGTTTGAAAAGATGTTTATTGAAAATTTTGTCTTTGAACTTGGTGATATCTTGAATCCAGCTGATTTTTGATTTTATGGGAAATTTTTGAGGGGTTTCTTTTATTTCTGGAAGATGGAAATCTTGAGTCTGTAAAGCCTTTTTCTCAGATAGCTTTGATTGCTCCGCCTGATCTGGTATATCCATGGAGCCAAGTGGTTCCAATGGTTTGGATTCGATTGTTGAGGTGGGTTTTCTGAAAGTTTCTGCCTCCGTAAGATTTAATTTTGGTGGGTCTTGAATCCTATTTAACCTGAGTTTTTGCAGTTGGACTGCACCTGTTTTACAAATTCTCAAAAGTAAAAGGAAAATAATCAGAATGTTCTTTTTTAATAGCATTACCTTTGCAAAATATCTTTTTGTTAGCTTTGGTAGTTTTCTGAATAGATCCAAAAGAAAAGTTTTGAGCCAGTCTAGGAAACCCGGTGTTCTGAATATAACTCTCTTGACTAGCTTAAGTGAGTAATTCCGTAGTTGAACACCGGAATTCATAAAAAATGCTGATTTGATTTGCTTCTGAACATGCGATGATCCTCGTTCGGTCGTATATTGTTGTCCTGTATCTTCACGGTATTGGTACTGAGATCCTTCTTATTGTTCCAGCCTCTTTCTTGGCCCGTTCTCGCTAATGGTACTGACACCCTTCGCCCCTTCGTTCCTTGAAAAGAAAGAGTTTCGCCATTCTTGTGATATTCCAAAGTGCATCCGTAATCAAATAAGAAAGGTCGTCCTAAAATACAATCCTGAGCCTTGGGCAAAACAAATAAATGTGCTGGTCCGGAGAATCGTCCAATTCCAACTGGGAAATTTTCAACTACTCCATTTAAGTCACATCTTGCTCCCCCAACTCCTTTCATTGGTATATTTACTTGAACTAGTTCCAAATCCAAATCTTTTGCTACTGATCTTGGCATAACATTTACCATGGATCCTGAATCTACCATAAATTCCACACTAGCTCCCCCAACTTCGGCTGTTACGTATCCTAAGGCACAGCTGTAGTAGCAAGGGTCCGAGGAATCTTCTATTTCCGGAGTGGTCATGGCTGCTGAGACTTTTGTGGCTTCTGTAGCAATATAAGTTGCACTACTTTTCTCTGGAAGTCGATTCTGAAGTTTCGTGATTATTTGTTCTGTGTAGGATGGTGAGATAGCCGTAAGTTGCGCAAATGTTGTGGGAATTTTTAGATGATCCAACTCTTGCAGCAGAGCTTCTTCTGGCGTTGCAGTCTTATTTTTATTCACTGGCTTTTCTTTACTCCACACTTTCTCTACCACAGGTGTTTTAGGTGTTGCCTCCGTAATATCGGCGAGCTCGTCTTCCTGATCAACGTCCATGTCATCTTTTTCTGGTTCTTGAATCCAAACACTGCGTCTTCCTCGTTGGCCCTCGGATCGGGTAATTGCATGATTGGCTAGAAAATTTTCTGCACCTAGTTGTGGTGGATCCCAATCAATGGTTTGAGCTGAGGTTTTCATTGTAGCCGGTGCTTGAGTTTCTCCTGATTTAAGGGATTCTGCTAATTTTCTTGCGGCTTCTTGCATTTGAGGGTCCGCTGACGCTGTAGCTACTACTGTTCTGATAGGTCTTGCAGGATTCCAAGGTATGTGTTGTCCATTTGGTAAATACCAGTCTTTTCCGTTACGCCTAACTAATCCTTGTTCTTCGTCCTTTAAGAGTTCTTGACATCGAAAGGTTCCGTGTCCCTCCCTCTTGCAGTAGTAACAAACTTGAGTTTCGTACAATGGTGTTGAAGGTTTAGCGTTTCCTCTAGTGAATTCCGATTTTTCGTTGGATCCGGATTGATTGTATGATACAGGAATTATGCTCTTCAGTTGAGACTTGAGTGACGCAATTTCTCGAGCCATATCTTCTACTTGCTTGTCCATGGCTTGTCCTGTAGGTGCTTCCGCAATCATCTGATCTCTTCGTTGGCTGTTTCCCTTCTGAGCGTTCAATTTATTCTGCATTAATTGATTAGATTCGCCAAATCCTGAGATGTTAAAATATCCAGGTTCCACGATCCGTACTTCCAACCTTGATGCTTCAACCAAGTCTTCCCAGCGTGGCGGTAAGTTGCTTCCATCCGGTCCCTTTGGAAGTAGTTCATAGCTAATTAAAGTACGTTTGATATTCATTTGACTTTCACGGGAAAATGCACTCAGAAAGAGTATTGAGGCATCCGATTTCTGATGTATTTGCTTATTGGTTACTAAGTATTTAAGGATGGTGGTGAATTTTCCTAAATAAGATTTGAATTCCCGATGATCCTTGATTCCGCCATTTACTCCATATTCTTTCGTAACTTTAACCAGGTCGTTGCAGGTGTACAAGATTGTGTTGTCCAATTCACCCCAGGTTTCGACCATTTCCTTTCGTAGTTTCGCCCATTCACATTTCTCAAACCCGTCCATGGCTTCTAGTTGGATCTTGAGCTCTGTCAGCCACAGAGTACATGTCACAGTACCTTTCATGTACCAAGTAACTGCAACACCTGTACTTATGTACATAAGTACTTATCCATAATGTTGATTACCTTTACCTCTTGTTATCTTATCTTTATTATTAACTTATCTTATTTATCTTACAGTTATCTTATCTGTTAATTACTTATCTATTAAATACATACCTGTGTTATACATAAGTAATTATCACTTACCTTTCACTCCCTTGTCCGTGAAATACCTGTACCACAAGTTATCCCTCTGCTACAGTATTTTCACGGTCAAATATTATTACAAATAAATATGTACATGTATTAAATAGTAAGTATTAAGTGTCAATAGAATTAATACATTCAATACATGCACTGATCACAATTATGACTACATTATTAGAGGATCTGTCAAGTGCACGCATCAAGAACAACTAGTACCTTGATCAACTAGTACACAATTATGATGTCACTTACAGATCATGACAAATAATGATCAGTCACTCAATTGATGTGCTCATTCTCCTGGCCAAAGCTCCCTTGATTCTGAGCGCTCATTCTTTCCTCCCTTCAGTATTCTGGAACTTATAATCCGTGCCTCTTTCACTGATTAATCACCAGAATATTCAGACACCAGTTAAACCAGTTAACATTTATATTGATACAGTACCCGTAACCAACATAAATCTTGTCTACATTTATTGTTCTTAAGCTTCAGTACTCTTACTCAACTTATCCACAGTATTCATAGCCTTGCTGAATATTCCCATTAACAATACCTGTTAATCTTCAACTAATTTTGTTAAAGCTTAATAAGTATTGTTAGCCCATTCCCTTTGGGGAATAACCAAATCAATCCCAGGTGAGTCTTAGTACCCTGGATGCCTATTAATACCTTGTATTGATCCGGATGCGCTGTTGATAGCAAGCCTCTCAGTAAAGACCATACTGATAGAGTGAAACCTCCTCTTTACAGGACTGGTATTAATCACCCACTACCTAACACTCACCACACTCAAAAACTTCAGTCAACTCATAGTAACAACCTTTTTACTATTAAAATACTCAGGTTAGTTACCCAGAGGCTGACAAGCTCCTCCGTCTTCATGAATCGTCCGATTTGTAACACCTTATCGTAGTCGCTTGCATTAAACGCCCTAGCTGCTCTTTCAAACCGCATCAAAAATTTTCCAAAGTTTTCGCCATCGTAAAAAAGTCCTGGTTCCTTGATAATTCTTGGTGCTATTTGTGGGATGGGTCGCTGATTCGTGTTTGCTTGATTTTCAGGTTGTTGTTGTTCTCGATTATAAACTGGTTCTCCCGCATTCTGAGTGTTGTGAATTCCGTATCCCGACACAGGAGGTATATTTGTTCCTTGAGGTGTAGTATCTCCTATATCTGAGTCTTCATCTGTTGTATCCCGCATTTGACTTGCTTTTCCTTTTCCTTTGTCTTTTGGTGGTGGTGGAACCGTGTTCTCTGAATTCCAATTGAAAGCTGAAGATGATCCCGAAGGTCGATTAAAAGGATGGTTTCTAAAAGGGGTTGATGGTGCGAATCCGTCTTCCAAATCTGGTGTACTGAATGGTAAACTCATGTTGATTGTGATTGATTTTCCTAGTTTTCCTTACTTAACGCTCCTCTAAACTAACGGTTGCTCTGAAAAAGAAACAAATAATACTATGGTCTCTGGTCTCTTTACCAGGGCAAGTTTAATGATTCTCTAAAATAATAATTCAAATAATACTGGGAATTTCTCCTTCTAACAGGATCTACTTATCCAAATCCTTCGGTGGTCTTCCTTCTTTTGGTCAATAAGCAGCTGCTTCCTTCGAATAGTTCCTAAGTTCTCTTCAAACAGTATCCAAGTTATCCAAATCCTTCGGTGGTCTTCCTTCTTTTGGTCAATAACTGGCTGCCTCCTTCGAGATACTCGTTTTCAGTTGATGGTTACACTTTCTTTTTTCAGAGGTTCGTTGATTGTTTCGTTGAATTGTTTTATTGAAGTTTGACTAGTTGATCAACAGAATAACTGAATATGCCGTTGAGTTGTTACAGATATGGTTGATAAATTCGTTCCGTTTACCGCTAAAGTAATGATCCTTGGTCGATGTCTTCTTGATTATCTTCTTGTTTCGTTTAAAATTGGTCACACGATTCCAATCGGAGGTTATCCTATCACGTTGGGGACTCCCTTGTAAGACTCAAAAGTGGTTATGAAACCCTTTTGCTGAATGGAGAAGGGTATGTTGGAGTTGCAAGCTCTGCCCTTCTATACTATCAGAATAACAAGACCACCAAGCTTAGCTTGGCAATTTTATATATAGTGATAGGGATAAGTTCGAGATGAAGCTGCCGATTGATATGTGTGAGGGTATAAAGATGTTGTTGACTGTTGGTTATATTGATGAAGTTGTTGTTGATGAATATGGTTCAGGGCACTTTTTGGTTTATGATGATGATGAAAGTGTTAAATCTGTATTTCAATGTATATAATTCTGAAATTGTAATGTGGCTATGACTTGTAGTTATGAAATAATATATAAGGTGTATTTATTTATAAGGGGGGTTGAGATGATCTGGTCCACTGGTGGGATGATGGAGGGAACAACTGACAGGCAGAGGCCTCCTTATATAGACAAATGTGAGGGATTTTGGCCCCAGGGTATAGGCTGAAAGATACTACTACAAAGGGATGCATATGAATGAATAAAGGGACGCATATGTATGATCAAAGGGATGCATACATGCAATATCACTAATACAAAGGGATTCAAAACAACGTAAAGGTATTCAATTTACTACAAAGGTATTCAGTATGCAATATGCATCCTGTATTCATAATGACTATGGCTAGAGTGAAGAATCCAAGAAATATCCCGCAACAGGTTGAAATCTGTGTAACTTCTAAACTATAAGAGATAAGGGTATGGTTGTAGTGGGTGACTAGGGGTTATTTTACCTGATGATTCCATTTTTGATGTCATTTCTACCGTATCTTGAATGAATAAAGAGATAATAAGAAATTTTTTATATTTTCTGCGTAGAAACACAGTATTATTTACCACACCGGTGCAAGCGTTTGAAAAATCCGCATTTTTCGAATGCGCTGACGTGTTTCACCACGGCTGTGTGGATCAGCTCATCCTGCCGAGGGATAAAAAATGCCCAATTTGTCATGCAAAACTCCGCACTTCACCAATAGTGCGCCCTCAGTCTTCGTCTACATCTCACCAGCAACCCACAGAAGGAAATGTCAAGCTCCCAAATCTAGGAAGGCACTTTGACCCATATAACTTGCGCTACAACCCAGAAGATTATCCTGATAGTTCTCTTCCTTAGTTTACCGTAAAAGCTAAGCTAATAGTTAAATAGGAGACTGAAGTAGAATGTTGGATATTGTATGAGAGGGATTGATTAGATTTTAAAATATGAGAATTGTGATAAGATTTACTGCTAATTTTTTATAGGTCACTAACACATTGAATTATCTCTTCCATTCCCATTTGTGAAATAAAAACAAAATCATCCTCATCCTCATCCCCTTACCATATATCCATCCCAATTCACACACCCCTCATTACCCTTCTATATTTTTCTCTTCTTCTTCTTCTCCCTCATATGTTTTCCTCAATCCAATTCCTTCTTATCTTTCCTTCATGGCAAATATTAGGATAAAACATCTCTATATTTTCTATTGCTCTTGATTCTTCATTCTCTTGCCTGCCTTCAAAAAAAAAGTCTACATTTTCTTCCCACTTTTCTTCTGACAGCTTCCTTGTCTAGAATGATTCTGTTAGTTGAAATGCATGTGTCTGGTTTGCGTGAAGAGAGAGCTGTTGTGGTGGGTTGAATACCATCAAACTCATGAGAGGCGGGAGAAGTGTGGTTGACAAGCCTGTGGGGATTGACCTGTATCAACTAGGCTGTGATTGTCACAAATGATTCCTGTCATGTCGAGAATCAATCAAAATCCACATCTTTCTTTCCTTTAATCCCTGCAAGGCAATGATGCGCTTACATAGGATCAGACAAATCAACAAAAGAATACTAGAAAAGCATGCTTAGTTTCTAACAGTATATATATTGTGCTGATGATGTATGAAAGAAGACACTGTGACAAGAGTCCCCACATGATTTTGATCAATCAGCTCTTGGGTTTTCCCAGTGCTTGAACTTGGGGGGGATTTGTTCTTTTGTTTTGATTTGAGTCAGAAATTCATCCCTGATGACGTCTCTGCTCCTGCCAATTGATGATTCACTTGAGCTTCCTTCTATTTCTGATTTTTCTTCCTTGAATCTCCTTTCTGTTTTTCTAAGTTAATCACTTCTTTTCTTTTTCTTTGTCTCGTGTAACTCGGAGATCCTTGTTGTAAGAGTTCACATTTGATCTCTTAATAACCTTCCACCACGTTCACTGATGCATCCCCCTTATAGAGCCAGTACACCTTCCTTCTAGCACTTCTTCGGACAATTTCCCAACAATTCCTTGACAATATGTCATTATCCTGTTGAGAGATAAAAGACGTGAAGATCTTACAAAACGGTGGAAATATTAGAATAAGAACTGATGATGACGATCAAGGTGAGTCCAGCGGACCAGAGGGCAGGCACCCAAGTTGACATTCTGAGGAAAGCTGCATTATAGAGAGCCGCGATAGCCCAACCGACGAGGCTACCAGAGATAACAGCAGAGAAAGAGAAAATGAGGAAGAAGAAGGTAGGGGTGAGGAAGAGACTGGTGAAGGGTCTCCTAGTCCGGTTAAGATTCTCGACAGGATGATGGATAGTAGTGATGATTGATGAGGCTCTTCGATGTCGATTTAATGGGATCCATTCTCCTTGGTTCTCGGTTCTTCCTACTGATCCTGATCTTCGAATTCTCGCCTGCTTTGCCATCGTCTTTCCTCCTATCCTCATCTTCCCCATCTTCCCATTTTTGCTTCCATTCATTTCCCTCAATGATCCACTTCTCCAAAACGTAAAACTCGCAAATAATCCACATCCCATAAATACAATTCCTTCGAGTAATCTAATTGGTTCGTGTTTCATAGCTTTTTTCAGTCAGTTCTCTGTCAAAATTCAGTGATTTTTTAAACGTTTAGTCATCACTCACAAAGTCCAATATAACGTGAATTTCCAAATCGCTACGAAATTTTGATATTGTCCACAATCAGTCAAAACCGAAACGGAAAATGTAGATGTATATCAGAATCTCATCAGTCAGGGAACCTAAGCTAAGTAATAAATTGTGAGGGTGTCCTAGAGAATGCAAGGGAAAAAAGCTCAACTTGAAGGTACGTAGAGATAAATTCCATCGGAATTAGGGCCATATAGACTAGGCCACGGAGGGGTTACATATCCAGGAGGAGGTGAAGCAAAAGTGCCTGAAAAAATAAAATCAGGTGTTACTCTCACCGACACCATCGGGATTTTTTTTTACTATGAAGGTTCAAAGAAATACTTCACTTGGCAAAGAGAAGGAAGCCCGTTTGAATAGAAGATGAGAGATCGTGGACATGTGTTCTAGAAAACCATGGATCGGTTATCGGACGGGATCTAGGTTTTGTTCAGAGTATGAAAAAATTGTGAGTTGATCGAGGGCTGATTGATGGAGGGTGCATGTGGAAGGAGTTGACGATGGACCACGTAAATTAGTATGCCGAGCTGACTATCGAATCGATTGCTTCATGGTTTTTCTAGTTCAAGAGAGAGTTTTTTGGACCTCGGGTTGAGCACATCCCCGATACCCCCGATACTGCCAACCGAGGTTCGATGCAACAAGTTTCCTCCCCCCGGGCCACACAGCACTAGACTGGAAAGAGTCATGACCTCGACTGAGCCTTGGGTTTGCGTGTTTGGATCGAACCTATTTTATCAGTCGGACCCAGATGAAGACCGAACAAGGAGCTCAACAACCAAGAAGAAGATCATCCATCCAAGAAAATTGAAGCAGACGAGGATCACAAAGGATGCTCGGTCGACTTCGGTGGTTGGTGTTGAAATTCTTCATGTGACTGATTCACAAACACTGGTTCATTACCAACAGTATGTCAATAAATAAGTAAATAAATAGCTGTTTCAAATGTTGATGATGTCCTCTGGTATTTTGAGCAGAGTCGACGAAAACACTCCAGAGTCATGTACAAGTTATCTAGAAATTTGGGGCTTCGACGAGGAAAATCAATCGACCGAGGTCAAAACTTTATCAAACAACTGTTTGACCTCACATCCGCTTGATCAAGTCAAGAAATGGCTTGGAAGGACAAAGATTCTGGGATACCTTGCAAGAGATGGTACGATCAATCCAATCAATATGAATACCCCGGCTTCGACTGGATCTCCGACAAGGAATTCGGCCCGTTATCAAGCCGTTACGATCAGTCATAATGGGGAAGTCCTAGCTGCAGTTTTGGATCATGAATCTACTCGAACACCGTCAAATTTGAAAACAGAGGATCAATCAACTCATCGTCTAGAGTTGTGGTCATCCTTTCAAGAACTATTGGACTTTTGTCTCAAGGGCGTTAGGACCAATTCAAATCCGAAATCAATTAGTTTAGATAGTCATCCATCGGGGGAAGAGACGGAAATCCAACTTTCCTCGGGTGCTTCGCATTTCCTTATTCTCACTCACACCCCCTCGACGGGATCGATCAAAGGAGCCGAAGATCCGGATTATCATTCGACCTTACATGCGTTTGGGGACAATCGTTTCGGTCAATTAGGAATAGGATCTCGCTCGATTGCGATTAATGAACCACAGATGATCGAAAATCTACCAGCACTATCAACTATCGATTGCGGCTTATTTCACAGTGTGGCCTTAGGTCGAGATGGCGAACTTTACACGTTTGGTCACAATCGTAAAGGTCAATGTGGTGTTGGAAGCTCAAGTACAATTGACACAACCACTCCTATCTTGGTCGATATTGGAGGCAACGGTGAGGCTGGTGAGATCATTGACGTGATTGATGCCCGATGCGGGAGTGAGCATACTGTGGTCCTTACATCTTCAGGGGTATGGCTGGCTGGTTCGAGTGAGTTACTTTCTTGTTTTCTTATGAGCCATTTGACATTAATTAGCCTCGTCATGTCTTCCAGATGCTCTCGGTCAACTTGGAATGGAAGACGCAAGCTCTCAGTTCGAATTCCAGAAGAATGAACACATTACAATGGGTGATCATGCCAGTACGACAGCAGGGTGGAAGATTCAAGCTGGACGCTGGAATACTTTTGTTTGGACAAACTCGTGATTCTGATCAATTCAGAAAGGAAAGGTACTTGTGTGTTTAGAGATCAACTAAAATTGGCCATTTATTTCAAAGGAAAGATTCACAGTGGGTTTTTTGTAAGAAAAGAAAAAAAGGAACAACCCTCAAAGTAGTAGACGTTCACGGCAGATCTGGTGATACGAGAGCCAACATTCGCGATACACGGCTTGTTTTCACTCTTTTTTTTCTTGGTGTGGAGCGTTTATTTATTTACTTTTCGTGTTTAGATTTGTGTGAGGATATCGAGTCAAGGAATGGGAAAGTGAAAGTGAAAGCAATAAAAGCCTAGGCGCCAAGTTTATTGATGGGCTTGTTTGGGGAAGCACGAATCGCACCCTGTTCGAAGAGAAAGTATGGTTTTAGCAATGAGGAAATATTTGTGTAATATTCCTTTTTTTTGTTTTTGACTTGGGATTCAAAGAGGATAACTTACAAACTCTGCGAACGTTGAGACCAGAGGCTTGGTCGTAACGACATTTGAAAAATGAGGGTGCGTAACTGGATTCACTAGGAGCGAAGCCGTAAGCTACTAGATGTTAGAAGAGACTGAAGGTCAGTCTAAATCTGCTGGTACATTTTCCCTTTTCTCTCTCCATCTCATTCTCTTGGGATGACGTACCCATGATGTTGTCTCGTTCGCTGACTTTGTAAGTCCTGGGGAAAATCCGGTAGATTGGCTTGGTGAGTTCTTTGCCTTGGTGATCAATTTTGGCACATTGATCAAAGAAGAGCTCGTGGTTCACTTGAAAGGCCCACACCAGGTGAATTAAGAGATTGTTAGGAATGATAAAGCGCGCCCAAAAAATTCTTTCTGTTTTCCTTCTGACACCAGGCATTGACTCACTTGGGTTACTATCAGCGTTACCTTTCGGCCCACCCATGTGACAAGTTGTGTCGTCGCAGGTGTTGATCCCCTTTTCGTCTCCACAAGCTATAATTTAAAAGGTATCAAGACCGCAGCTTATTAAATGGGTATGAATTCAAGTACTTAGCAAAGGCAACTGTTCCGGACGTACAAACATAGAGGGGGTTCTTGTAGGTGTCTATAGTTGACCAACTAGTGCCACATTCTACCTGGCGCGTTGAGGATTTTGATTCTTGGGTTGTGGCAGATGTGACACTGGAACTGAGGCTCATAAGGAGCCAGAGGCCAACCAATAAGGAACTGAAAATTGAATCTTTGAACATTTTATCGTTGCAAAAATTATTTCTCCCGGCTAAGTCAATAAAGAGGGTGAGTAATTAGGCTGTGATAGCAGCCAAAAGAATGGATATGAGGTGAGGGACAGGGATTTTTGGATGGGCCAGGTGCGAGGGAGTGGCTGGTATTTAAGAACATTTTCCATCCTATTTACAGGTGCTGTACCATCATCACCAGGGTGTGAAGTTGTAAACAGCCGAAGTTTAGGTGTATGTACTGCTCTGATGCCCACGGCCACCGAATGACTCCATCGGGGCGGCTCGACACCCAGAAGAAGGTCGAAGCAGGATTCGAATTTCGAAAGATGAGGAAGTGATTCATGATCTGATCTACCCTGGTCCCTGAGCCACCCAGGGCCACTGGCGATATATTTACCCAGCAAGTCTGGCATACCGATGTACGTATAAGCTGATCGATCAACAGCTATCAACAGCCCTTCCAGTCTTCAGAGGGCATCATCACTGACGTTTTGATGGGATTGGTAATCTGGTCGAATAACCAAAATACAATGCGTGGTTCCATTCAGCTCAAGTCAAGGGTAGCCACACATCCGGATTGATCATGATACTTCTCCGTCCGACTCTCTTAAAATCAGTTAACCCTGTTTGAGGCCTTCCTCTTTCCGGCAAGAAAAAAAACCACCGACCGTCCGAGCAGATCTAAGAAGGCCTTTTTGGCCAGGTCGACATTATCCACAGGGAAAGCACATCTTGTGGTCACGGAGAAGTGGGTTGGCACTTCAGTTGAAGATTGCCTCAGGTTGGCTCAGAGGCGGAGCCGAGCCGGAGCCCGAGCTCACAGTTGTGCACATTCTCATCAGACTGCTTGACTGTCAACTGTCAACTGTCCACGATCCAAGCGCCACTGACGATGGCAACTGATGATCATCAACTCAAAAGGGGGATTCCTGCGTCCTAACGTTTAAACTCGTTGTCAAGACTCAGGAGTAGAGGAACTGGATTTTCTTAACCCGCCTTTATTCCAGTGGGTTGTGCTTTACATTTGTCTTTGCTCATTTCAAAGCGAGCATCACATGTTCAAAATTATCCTCCGAGCCGGAGGCAACCTTAAATTAAACTGCCATCAACCCTTATCAAAATTAGCTAGGAAGATAAAGTCATGCCCGCGGGAAGGCCCTGGCTTCCTGTAAAAGACATGCTCCTGACTTATGGGGACTATAAGGTACTTGAGCATCTTCAGGTATTTTACATTCGTTATTTCAATTGCACCACCAGTGGAATTGCCGAAACAGGAATTGCCGAAAAAAACAACGTAACCCTTGTTATAAGCTGAAGCTTGGCGGTCGGCATCGATCGATCTGAGTGTAGGACGAAGAATGGCCGATCGGGTATGTGATGACGATTTGCCAGCTGAGGCAAATTTGGTTTCGGTGAAGCCATATGGCCGATGATGTGACCACGTAATGCGAATTTTGCTACCATGATCACGAAGTTGACTCGGGCCTGACGGGCCAAAAAGGCGCTCGGCATGGCGAAGATTGAACCAAGGTGCTACATCTTTAGGGTGCTCGCCACAAAATCTCGTTGCCATTTTGGGCCAGTCCCCTAGATGTATGTGTACAAGTTGAGGCTCATCTCGGGAGTGCTGCCCCGAGTCTACATACCAGACTGGAGTGACAGGCAAAGGCCAATCCCAACGCAAGTCACTAACAGATGCCAACACCAGCCTCTCCAGGTGCTCAATTCGTCACATGTAGTGACATATTTTGGGCGATATCATGGATGCCTGCGTTTTCGGCATGGAACTTCAGTACACGCTTCTGCTCGTACGGCAGTAGGTTCCTCTTACCGCCAACAGGAGACAGTCAAACTGGTTGGGGGATGTGGAAGTATCAAGTTTAATCTGGATGCCTGGCTATTCTTGAATGGAGCCAGGCACATCATGGGTTTTCGCCTTGATCGCCAACTCTATCAAAGGGTTTGTAAATTGTACGATTCCCTCTGCACACTAGAAGCTGTTGGCTAATTACCCAAGTACATGGGTGCAACTGACTTGCTGAGCAGAGTAGATACATCACCAGTGCCGGTGGCCCTTGGTCAGTGGCTGAGTGATTTGGGTCGGAGGGATCAGATCATGAATCACTTCCTCCTCTTTGGAATTTCCAAACTGAGTTTTGCGTGCTGAATGTGAGGAAATGTAATGGGCATATCCCACCGAAAATGGGATCCAGTTCCACAAAAAGGAAAAAGAGCAATCTAACCTCATGTTGTTCCCTTTGGAGACTCCCTTCATGATCGCAAATAACACAAAATGTTTAAGTGGCACAGAGGAAGGTCCATTCTGAAGATGAGAGAAGGGCAAATTGTGCATTAGTGAAAAAAGCAAAACAAGTGGAAATCAGGAAATCTAGTATCACTTGAATCAAACAATCTGTTAGAGCAAAAGGCTATAATGATTGATGCAGTCTATCATGCAGAAAAAATGGATGAGCTGAAGCCCAACACAAAGCTTACTTTGGGACTTGATTAGGTATTCACTGCTTCAAGCAGTGAATACCTAGTCTACTTCCCAAATCTCTTTGAAAGCACTTCCATAGCACTTCAATCCTGTTGACTTGGAGTAGGCAAACCTGATTCAGAGTGGAAATGTGCCAACTCCCTGGATAATTTGAAACCTGGTCAGGAATCGAGGAAGTTTTTCTCAACAATATATTCAACCACATAATCAACGGTGGGCCAGCTACGCTAACCGTAGCGTTGTGGAACTCCTATTGTGCCAAGCGGTAGTGTCAGCGCCGGTCTCTTATGTGACCTGGCGTTGATGGGGTTTATGGGGTCACACTATAACTGCAAAGGCAGCCAATGGAAGAGAACCTCACCTCGACGCTAGGAAGCGGAGGGGTTAGCTCCCTGGGTTAGAGGGGACACACGTGGAATGAGCTTTGCGGTGCCGAGCTTAGAGTACGTATAACTCTCTTCTAGGCTACAGTAGTGACTTTACTGTAGTCTAGGGATGGAGGAAGATGATAAGAGTAGGATGGAAGGATGTAATAAATTGTAATAGATTATAAAAAACCCCACTCACTTAATTTAAGTAAGGACAACGGGTTTGTATGGCAAATAATCTCTGGGGGGAAGAATCCTAGAGGGAAAGCCCTCCCCCTTAAGTATTGCAAGGCAGGGTTCAAACTGCCTGTTGGACCGGACAGGTGCACAGATGATCATTTTATGTATTTAAAGCACAAATGATCAGAACATGTATTTAAATTAAGATTACATCAAAAGTGGAGGGAATGACATCATTTCTCTCTATGGGAAATCCATACAGAGAGGAATAAATTAATCAATTCCCAAAGTGTAGTAATCTCTCTAATTACAGAATATACTTAGAGAGAAAGAAGAATAAACTTTATGTACATAAGTTAGCATCTCTGTAATAAAGGAATATTAATACAGAGGAGAATACTAAGTTATTCCACGGAATTACTTAGGAGAAAAAAATATAAAAAAGGAATGAATAAAAATACAATAGAGTGTTGAGGGGGATTGAACACAGGGTGTTGGTAAGAATTGTCTTAAGACAGTTCTTAACCACTACACTAGCCTGTTTGTACTTATATGTTCACATTGTAGACACATGGGCTATAGCCTCAGTGTCTGACAGGTAGGCAGTTGGTTGAAGGGAAAGTGCTTTGAGGGCTGCCTTCAAGTGGGGTCCGGATAAATTGAGCTGTGATCTGAACAAGAAATGTGTTGGGGTTGGTTGGTTTTCTGAGAGGAGACAACAGAAATTGAGTTCTGTGGCGGTTGTTGAGGTTAAGGATCTTTGAAGGTGAATATGAGGATCAGATGAATGAATGATAAAAGGATCAATAAGAATTGATGGGTCTATCTTGGATCAGATCAGAGTGCCATGCTTCCCCATCATCTCAGTTCAAACTGAACTTTGACTCTGGGGAGTGACATGTCACAGACATGTCATCACATCCCTAACTACAACACAACTCAACCAAAAAACAAAAACAAGACCACACTACACAACACTACACAACACAACACACACATCACATCACATCACAGAACAGAACAGAAAAGAACAGAACAGAAAAAAACAAAACAAAATAATCAAGAGTGAAATAAACCAACATACTAAGATGTCTTAGGACCAAGAAAATTAAACAAGACTGTCTTCTGAGTAAGTGATTTGAAAAAGATAATAAAGAATGATAAAATGATAAAATAGAAATAAAATCAAGATGAATGAAAAATAATATGAAGAGTAAATAATAAGAGGAAATGGAATAAAATAATAAAATGAGGAAACCATTGGACTGAGTGGGGATTTGAGGTGATAATATTGAAATCTTGAGTCTTGAGGATATTGAAGAGTTGAAAGTTGAATTCTGAAATTGGACCTTGAGGAGGCCTGTACCGTTTAGAACACCACAGCGTTAGCGTAGCGTAGTGTAGCCAAAAATTGCTACAATGTAGCGTAGCGTTGTGGTGTGCTGTGCCTGTTCCAATGCCAAAAGCATACAGCAGAGGTGTTGGGATAGCATAGTTACATACATGTGACAATCATTACAAGAGAAGGAACAATCATTATGGATGAGGTGTGGTATATACGGACTGGATTACATACAATGAGTGGATTGGGAGAACATGTCTCAACCAGGAATGGAACATAGGAGCGGTGTGCATACGAGGATTGGAGTGGGAGATCATATCTCAACCAGGAATGGAACGGAGGAGCAGAAGTTTATACGTGTAGAGGAGTGGGAGAACATGTCTCGACCAGGAATGGAACGGAGGAGCGGTGTGTAATAAGGGTACTTTATGTTTTACGTAAGGGTAAAGGGTATGGATTGTGAAAAGTGAAGGGAGGAAAAATATTGAGGCGGAGGGAGGAAGGAAGGAGTGAGGAGAGGCTTTGACCCCCAAATCCTGGGTGGAAGGAGATAACAGCAGGTCTGGCAGGCTGGTACTGCCTATGCAGAGTGTTCTGGAAGATGGCTTGGTTACCTGGCGATGCATGACATCATGCTGCGCTTGTGTGCTCCCTTGCATGCATATTATGTGACAAGGTCTGGAGTTAAGTGTTCCTAGCACAGCATAAGCTGCACTATTTGTTTGGAGGCTGTGCGCAAAGGCTGTGCAGGTGAGATCCCCTGCAGCAATATTCCCTCACAAGGAGTCCCCTGCAGCAGAAATCCCTCACTCTTCAATATAAAAGAAGGACCTCTCCCCACCAGAAAGTCTCTTCTCCCCATCAGCCTACAGAAGTCTCGCAGAGCAGTAAGTTGGTCCTGAGCTACTGGAAGTGTTCCGGAGTGTCAGTAAGGTGAAGAGTTAGAATTAGTGATAGTTAGTTAGTTAGTGAAGTTAGTACATCAGCCTACTGCGGTAAGTTTGATCACCCAAGTTGAAGAATAAGTTAGTAAGTGAGTGAGTTAGCGATAAGTAGTGAATTAGTACAGTATTGTAAGCGTGAAACCAACACAGAGTTCGGAATTTGAAGCATATTAGTAGTAGTAGTCATCAGATAAGTTGTAGTACATTAACAATTAACCAATAACAAGTAGTAGTAGTATTAGCACCGGAGCTCTAGTTCTTGATTAAAGTGCCTTAGCAAGAATTTGTTCGAGGAAGAGATCATTAACAAACTCTATAACAAACACCAGATCTGTTTCGTGCTCAAACCATCAGCACAACAGTGTCCATTATTAAACTGAAGTTGTAACAGATTCATTAGTAGATTGATACGTGATCTAGGTCTGATAGAGATTACTTTACGAAAGTAAGATCTATCTTGGAATCAGCCATACATTATTAAATATTGATTACAAGACTCTTAGTTATTTGTTTAGTACATTTAGAGGGGCAGGTCTTTCAAACCACCCGTAAGTTGTAATAGCCTTTCAACCTATTTGCAATTTATTTCCCCCTCAAGGGATCTTTTGATATACATATACTTTACCGTGTCTATCCGTCCCAGGAGTCCTACATCTGGTGTCCCAACAGTGGCCGATTACCGTCAGCAAGATCATTCGAATCAATCACACTTTTCTAGCAAATCAACCTCAACATCAAATCAATCGTGGATAACGGGAAGAAGGCAGATTTTGGCGGCGATAAGGAGCGCTCGATTGGCGATACGAAGGATACGATTGAAGTGGCGAAGTATTTGATTGGCGAGACGAAGGATTTGATTGGCGAGACGAAGGATTCGATTGGCGAGACGAAGGATTTGAGCGAAGATACCAAGGAGTCAAACAAGACATCCAGGATTGACAAGGAGATTAGAGAAAGGGAGCGGAAATTTTTGGAAGAACAATTTGGCAAATTATTAAATCAAAAATCGAAAATGTCAAATTCGGCGGAACAGAGCATGGAGCAATCAGCGATGATGCTAAAACAGCAAGCCAAGATGACGGAACTTGAAGATTCAATGCAACAGATGAAGGAAATGATGATGGCACTATTAAAGCAATCCAAAGCACCACAAGCTGTACCAATACCGGAAACTCCACCGCCACGAGGACAATCTTTACGATTTGCAACTTCAACACCATACACTGGAATAGCGGGAAT